CTGGCTTTGCAAAAGGGCACCCTGTGATGCTCAAACCATCATAAATACGAGTCAGTTGCCAAGTCTCTGAATTTTGATCACCTGATCATGGGGAGGCTGCAATGGTCGTAAGTGGGAAACGTGTCGTAAGTTGCTTTTTCCAGTGCATCGGTTTGTAGCCCTCTGAAGAGGCCAGGGCTGCAGCAGTATAACCCATGTTTTTATAGAAACAAAATGAATCAAAAGCAGCTAAAAGGCAGAGAGGTCTTTTAAGGGTATTGCAGGGTATGGTAAAAAAAAAAAATCAATTGTGACTACAGTTGAAGGCCTGCCTATTTTGACGAATCTTTTTATAACATTTTTATAAATCCTGGTGACTCCTTTCTCTTTAGTAAGAGCTGGATGAATTTCATGTCAAATGTGTGTAGAAAGTGGAAAGGCTAGTTGTAAATTACTGAACAGAGTGCCAGGTATTTGAGTAAGTGGGGGGGGGGAAACCAAATTCACTATTTATTTGTTTTATTTATATCCCACCTTTAATATTTTTATAAATAACTTGAGGTGGTGAACATACCTATTACACCCTGTGAGGTGGATTACGCTGAGAGAGAATGATTGGCCAAAAGTCACCCAGCTGGGTTCATGCCTAAGGCGGGACTGGAACTCAAAGTCTCCTGGTGATTGGCCCAAAGTCACCCAGCTGGCTTTCATGCCTAAGGCGGGACTAGAACTCACCATCTCCTGGTGATTGGTCCAAAGTCACCGGCCTGGCTTTCATGCCCAAGGCAGAACTAGAACTCAAAGTTTCCTGGTGATTGGCCCAAAGTCACCCAGTTTTCATGCCTGAGGCGGGACTAGAACTCAAAGTTTCCTGGTGATTGGCCCAAAGTCACCCAGTTTTCATGCCTGAGGCAGGACTAGAACTCAAAGTCTCCTGGTGATTGGCCCAAAGTCACCCAGCCAGTTTTCATGCCTGAAGTGAGACTAGAACTCAAAGTCTCTTGGTGATTGGCCCAAAGTCACCCAGCCACTTTTTATGCCGGAAGTGGGACTAGAACTCAAAGTCTCCTGGTAATTAGCCCAAAGTCATCCAGCCATTTCTCATGTCTCAGGCGGGACTAGAACTCTCAGTCTCCTGGTGATTGGCCCAAAGTCACCCAGTCAGTTTTCATGCCTGAGGCGGGACTAGAACTCTCAGTCTCCTGGTGATTAGCCCAAAGTCACCCAGCCAGCTCTCATGCCTAAGGCGGGACTAGAACGCACCATCTCCTGGTTTCTAGCCTGGCGCCTTCACCACTAGACCAAACTGGCTCTAAATAGCACTTTCCAAAGTAATCTGATACAGCACATAGCTAAAGGACTGAGCTGCTCATTAGAAAGTCCCAAATCAGAATCACAATGGGACCACATATTCACTCAGTGAAGATTAAGAAAGAGGCCTATATTGTTGTGTAAATATTAAGATTTATTCAGATATCTACTTGCTTGATGCCTAGTCACAACAGTGGCAGCATCCGAGTTTGGAAGTTAAGCAGAGTCACAACTTATCAATAATTGGATGGGAGACTAGCCACTTTAGCTGTGGGCTAAACTGGAAAGTTACATTTCATTAGAGACCCCAAAAGTTAAATAGATATGCTGAAAGAAGGCACTAAGCTAAAGAATCAATGAAAAGTCCCACAAAAACAGATGCCTAATTCACAGTTACGAAGAAGAAACTGCAAGTTTACAAAACATTTAAGCCCCAAAAGATTGGGGCAAATGCAATTTCCACAAGAGGAAAACTAAAGACATGTACAAACATCCCGCAAAGCAATAACTCCCTGTAGTTGGAGAATCTTCACAACAGCTTCATCCATGCCAAAGAACATCCAGACATAATCATGAGAGGAAGAATTTTCTATTCTTTTTTTCTATGCACAGCAGTTTGCAGAATTTACTAAGAAAATCATTCAGGCCGGTGCATTTCAACCTTACCAACTTTAAGCTGAAAGTTGCCAAGTTTGAAAAACATTGATTTAGGCCAGGGGTCTTCAAACGTGGCCCTTTTATGACTTGTGGAGTCTTCAAACGTGGCCCTTTTATGACTTGTGGACTTCAACTCCCAGAATTCCTCAGCCAGCATGCCTGGCTGTGAAATTCTGTGAGTTGAAGTCCACAAGTCATAAAAGGGCCACGTTTGAAGACCCCTGATTTAGGCCATACTACAAATACAATGCGGGGGGAAAGCATCTTTAATTTGGCACCCAGGAATATCACAAGCCAAGAAACTCCCCCCCCCCATTTCAGATCTCCCTTCAAATCACACAATTCTCTTCATCTCAGTCCCCCCACCCACCAAGTAAGTGTGTGGGTGTGTAATGAATCTGGCCGACTACACAGTGTATTAATATTGTTACATAATGGGTGAAAAACCATATTGAACATTTGGTAGTACTAAATTTATAATTTACTCTCTTAATATTAAATTCTCTCAGCCATTACAAAAGATAATATAATAATCAATCCCCGGCAAGTTAAACATTAAATAATGTAAAGATGAAAAAGCACAGAACACAATCCTTTCGTTTACTCTCAAGCCCTTTGCCCTACAGGCAGTCCTCAACTTACAGTCATAACTGAGCCCAGAATTTCTGTTGCTAAGCAAAACAGTTGTTTAAGTGAGCTTTGTTTTACAACCTTTCTTGCCTCAGTTCTTAAGTGGATCCCTGCAGTTGTGAAGTTAGTAACACGGTTGGTAAGTGAATCTGGCTTCCCGATTGACTTTGCTTGCCATAAATATGAGTCAATTGCCAAAGCATCTGAATTTTGAACACTTGACCATGAGATGCTGCAATGGTCATTAAGTTCTTTCTGACAGTTAGAACAATTAACCAGTGGAACTACCTGCCTCCAGAGGTTGTAAATGCTCCAACACTGGACGTTTTTAAGAAGAGACTGGACAACCGTTTGTCTGAAATGGTATAGGATTTCCTGCTTGAGCAGGGGGTTGGACTAGATGACCTCCAAGGTCCCTTCCAACTTTATTATTATTAAGTATGAAAACTGGTTATAAGTCACTTTTTTCAGTGCAATTGTAATTTAGAACGGTCACTAAACGAAATGTTGAAAGTCCAGAGCTACCTGTAGCTCGTTTTTAACTAGCGGTCCCCACCTTACAACCACAATTGAGCCTAAAATTTATGTCGCTACGTGAGAAATGTGTTAAATGAGTTTTACGACCTTTTTTGCCCCAGTTGTTAAGTGAATCGTTGCAGTTGTCAGGTTACTAAGTTGGTTGTTAAGTGAATCTGGCTTCCCCATTGACTTTGTTGGTCAGAAGGTCGCAAAAGGGGATCCCATGACCCCCCCGGGATACTGCAACCGTCATAAATATGAATCTGTTTCGCCAAGCATCTGAATTTTGATCAGGGGACCACGGGGAGGCTGCAATGGTGAAAAACTGCAAAGGTCGTAAGTCACCATTTTCAGTGACGTCGTAACTTTGAACGGTCACTAAGTGAAATGTTGTAAGTCGAGGACTGCCTGTACTCTCTGCAAAATTGATGATGGAGAGAATTCCACTTCCAGAGAGGCTCTTCCAGAAGGCGGGAACGACAGAGCGGCGTCAGAACCCTTTCGCTGCTCAGAAATGGGACATTGCCAATATTTTCTCCTAGGCAACTGATGGCTGGCATATCTTGTGCCCAAAAGCCTGGCGCAGCTTAAGCAACCTTACTACTCTGAAGATGCAACATAAATTTTTTAGCATGCAGACCATAAAACAGTATCCAGTGCAGTGCACGGGGTTTCTCAGAAAGGACTTGGCAGCCAGTCGGCACCTTGAGCCAAGGAGAAGCACCGCCTGTCCACCTTTGGCCTCTTACTTTACAAAGGCAAGATGAAGAAAAAGGCAGACCCGGTGGAAATGACAGCATGACGTTGAGATGTTTTGGATAAAACACCTGGATGACCTTCTTATTCCCCCCCCTTCGGCTGAAGCAGTATGCCACTGAGGACCAAAGGTCCATTATCCTTCCTTTTTTAAGCAGTTACCAAAATGGGAAGTCCATCCGGGAAATTAAATGGACCCTCCAAAGCGAGAGGCAGTCTACCTCGGAATGCTGAAGAATGGAGCAAATGACAAGGGAAGGTCACCCCCTTATTTCGGCTCGGCTTGGCGAACTCCTTCCAAACTACCTGGCTGGCAGCCATCAGGACGTAGAGAGATGACCTGTTTTGCTTGCAATCCGAGAAGATGGCATTGTTTTCCCTGTTCGGGTGGCATTTGGCCAACCCACCTCCTGATAGGCCCTGCTGAGGGGCGGCATTTGCCCGTCCAGGTGGCATCTCCCACGAACCTTTGCCAGCCAGTTAAGCTTTGGGGAGGTGAGGATGGGGAGGGGATGGGGAAGATGGCACCCTTTGGGACTGGGTCCATTCAGAGCATCGCCCTCCCTCCCTGCTGGACAGACCACTGCCAATTGCAACACCGAATACTGAACTACACACCCTTGGCAATCTTTCCCATCGCTGGCCAGTGAGAGCCGAAATGGTGTGCGACCCTCGCTCACCACGGAAGGGGGGGGAGAATGGACACCCCTACACAGAGCACACACAGACATACAGCACACAAGACACAGAGAGATTCTATCGCTCCATCAACGCAACAAGAGGAAGAGACAACGCAAAACCGCAATGTGGACCTTTAAAAAAAGGGAACGCCAGTCTGGTTTTCCCCAGCATTGATTGACACCCCCCCTTCCTAATTTATTCTCTGACACCCCCACACACACACCTCTGGGTCCTTGTCATGTCATATCCAGTCCTGGAGTGGGTCGTCAATCTCTTTTTAATATGCTGCTCAGGTTGGCACTGGCTGGCATGGGGGGGGGGTTGGGGGCCAGGCTGAAAAAGCAGCCCCTTCCATTCTGCATCTGTTTTTCTCTCCTCCCTCCCCCCCCCACAGCCTGCTGCATTGTCTCCAGCCTGCAAAAGCCCCCCCCCCAAGAAAAAATATCAAAGTCCAGAGAGGGTCTTACCTCATCTCCGAAGAAGGTGGAATGGAGAAAGGAGAGGACCCACAGCAGACCCATGTAGTCCCCCGCATCCTTCTCCTGCCTCTGCCTGCCTTGCTGAGATGGGCTTGGCTTTCCGGAGAGGGAGAAAAGCGTTGCAGTGCAGGTCTGGGGGCGCCAGGGGGCAGTGGGGAGCAACTGGCGGGTTGCTGGGGTAGGGGGGGGAGAGATGCCACATTGAGAGGGGGGTAGGGCTCAGCTGGGCCAATCTGATCGAATAGAAAGGAGCTGACATAATCTTTTACACTTCGTAGGTGTGCCGGATCTTCTTTGGGGGGGGCGGTTTGCATCGGGAACCCCAGAAATGTGGAGTTTGAAGCTGGAGAGCTGCATTCACAATGAAAGAGCCAGGAGATGAGTATTTTGAAGACAGGGTCCCCCCCCCCACACAAATACTCCTAAACCAACCCATCTGTGGCCCTAAAATCGGGGAATAGAATAGAATAGAATAGAATAGAATAGAATAGAATAGAATAGAATAGAATAGAATAGAATATAGAATATAGAATATAGAATAGAATAGCATATAGAATATAGAATAGAATAGAATATAGAATTGAATAGAATAGAATATAGAATATAGAATAGAATAGAATATAGAATAGAACAGAATAGAATATAGAATAGAACAGAATAGAATATAGAATATAGAATAGAATATAGAATATAGAATAGAATATAGAATATAGAATAGAATATAGAATAGAATAGAATAGAATATAGAATATAGAATATAGAATAGAATAGCATATAGAATATAGAATAGAATAGAATAGAATAGAGAGGAACAGAACAGAACAGAATAGAACAGAATAGAATAGAATAGAATAGAATATAGAATATAGAATAGAATAGCATATAGAATATAGAATAGAATAGAATAGAATATAGAAAATAGAATAGAGAGTAGAATAGAATAGAATAGAATAGAATAGAATAGAATAGAATAGAATATAGAATATAGAAAAAGAATATAGAATAGAATAAAATAGGAGCTGGAAGGGACCCTGAAGGTCTTCTAGTCCAGCCCCCTGCTCAAGCAGGAGAACCTACACCATCTCAGACAGGTGATTGCCTAGTCTCTTGAAGAGGGAAGGAAGGTTGTGTTGGGGGCTTATAGGGAAGTGGGGTGCAGTGGCAGCTTTAAGGCCATTTTAAGGCAGCACCCCAGTTGTGAAGCTCTTGGTCCTCTCAACAGCAATTTTTAGTTCCTCAGCCAGATTAGCTTTTGCTGTTGTGAGTCGCTCTGAGGTTTAAGAATGGGCGGCTGTATCCGTGTTTTGTTGATTGATTGGCTTGCATCCTGCCTGTATTATTTTGACAAAGAATTCAAGGTGGGCGAATATATCCAACGCGCCTTCTTCCTCTTCGCTTTTCCCACAATAACAACAACCCTGTGAGGTGGGTTGGGCAGAGAGGGAGAGGGAGGGACTGGCACAAAGTCACCGAACCGGCTTTCATGGTTAAGGTGGGACTTGAACTCATCGTCTGCTGCTTCCCAGCCTTTTAAATTAAATTAAATTAAATAATTAATTTAATTATTGGTTGCCTATTGGTCTCCGGGTCCAATTCAAGGTGTTGGTTATTACCTTTAAAGCTCTATATGGCTCAGGGCCAGGCTATTTACGAGACCGCCTACTACCTCATAGTTCCCTTACGAGACCGCCTACTACCTCATAGTTCCCTTCGTCCGGTTAGATCCCACAGGCTGGGCCTCCTTCAGGTCCCGTCGGCCAAGCAGTGCCATTTGGCAGGGCCGCGGAGGAGGGCTTTCTCTGTGATGGCGCCCACGCTTTGGAACCAGCTCCCCCCGGAGATTAGGACCGCTCCCACCCTGTTGGTCTTCCGTAAGCTACTTAAGACCTGGCTTTTCTGGCAGGCCTGGGGTTTATAAAACCTCACCCCTGGATGATTGTTTTTGTATTGTTGTTTTGTTATGTTTTATGTGTTTTTTATTGTTAGCCGTCCTTCGGGAGTGGGGCGGCTTATAAATTTTAAAAATAAAAATAAATTAAATTAAATTAAATTAAATTAAATTAATAATGATATCTTCTTGGGTCTGAGTGTCTTTTAGATAGCTTGTGATACATTTTTTTTTTAAAAAAAATGATTTAATGTTGGCATTTTTAGTGTTATTTGTTTTACTTCAATGGCATCCTCTCCTTTCCTTTCCCCCTCCTTCCTTCCTTCCTTTTCTTTATTTCTTTTTCTTTTCTTCTTTCTTTTTCTCTTTCTTTCTCTCTCTCTTTCTTCTTCTTTCTTTTTTCTTTCCTGCTCTGCAAGTTAATGAGAGGAAAAGAAGATGGGCTGGGACTTTTACTTTTTATAAACTGCCTTGAGGGTTTGAATAAACTGAACCCCGGACTATAAACTCCGTAATAAGTAAATAATCTTCAAATTCTAGGCCAAGAGAGCTACAGATAATGGACATTAGAAATCAAATGGAGCTATCCAGATAACCCAATTCAGACCTTGCATCATGGGGTGCTTTAAATCCCCCCCTTTCCTTCCCCCACCTTTTCCTCCCTTTCCTGGTCTCACCTGCTCCAACTTGATCCAAACTGGAATCTCTGCCCTGAGTTTTGTTTATATCAAAACATACCCTAGAAGGAAAGCACTTCCTGTTCTTTCTTCTTGCTGTCCTTCAGAAGAAGAAGGATCTTGACAGGCATCCATTTGTTCGGGAGAGCTGGATCATTTTCCCCCCCTCCAAATCTGACATCTATAGAACAGACCTGGAGATTATACCTGGGCTAGGTGAGTGTGCTAGAAATGCAGTCTCATGTTGTATGGTTTGGGATTCGGCTGAGGCATGCAGACTTTTTTTTTTTTTGTAGGGATCTGAAAGCCACCTCAGTCCTGCTTTTGGGGGGGATGGGGTGGGGTCCAGGGAGAGGAATCAAAATAATAATACTCATGATCAAATTTGCCTAGGAGACTCTTCACTTCTTGCAGTATAAAATGCAGACTTCCTATCCTTTTCTCTTACTTACAAAATCTGTGGACTTCAACTCCCAGAATTCCCCAGCCAGTCATGCTTAAAGATCTTAAAGTTACTAAGGTTGGACACCTGGGCCTTAGAGCAGAGTTTGAAACAGGTGGATTTAAATTATGGGGTGGCGTGGAAAATGACATTGAAAATTCTGAATATCACAGTTACAGTCCACTGTGCATTTCAATATATATCAACCCTCTTGGAAAAATATTTTTAGCAACTGTTATTATAATTTGTCCTTTTAATATGAATGTGACTACCTCAATTCCAACTGTTAATCACCATTAATTAGCTGGAATTCGATCTCTCGGCTTGTCGTTCGCCGCCCACTCTTAAAGAGCTTCCAGAAGTGTTTATAAAATTCAGAAAGTCCCTAAAGCTGTAAGAGTTCTTTTCACTCTAAACCATGATTTAAGTTGTGCAAGCCAACATTGTAAGGCTCATTTATGGTTACTGTTTCACAAAAACTCAGCTGGCTAATTTGATAAGCCTAGAGTAGAGTAGAGTAGAGTAGAGTAGAGTAGAGTAGAGTAGAGTAGAATAGAACACAACAGAACACAACAGAAAAGAACGGAATGGAACAGAGTAGAGTAGAGTAGAATAGAACACAACAGAACAGAACGGAACGGAATGGAACAGAGTGGAGTGGAGTGGAGTGGAGTGGAATGGAATGGAATGGAATGGAATGGAATGGAATAGAATAGAATAGAATAGAATAGAATAGAATAGAATAGAATAGAATAGAATAGAAAATATGGAATGGAACCGAACGGAACGGAACAGAGTAGAGTAGAGTAGAGTGGAATAGAGTAGAGTGGAATAGAGTAGAGTGGAATAGAGTAGAGTGGAATAGAGTAGAGTGGAATAGAATAGAATAGAATAGAATAGAATAGAATAGAATAGAATAGAATAGAATAGAATAGAATAGAATATATGGAATGGAATGGAACGGAACAGAACAGAGTAGAGTAGAGTGGAATAGAATAGAATAGAATAGAATAGAATAGAATAGAATCTGGATGGGACCTTGGAGGTCTTCTAGTCCAGCCCCCTGCTCAAGCAGGAGAAGCTATACCATCTCAGACAGGTGAATGTTTAATCTCTTCTTTAAAATCTCCAGTGATGGAGCACCCACGATTTCTGGGGGCAAAGTCGTTCCACTGGTTGATTGTCCTCACTGTCAAGATAAGCATGTTCAGGGGTGACTAAGTCCGAAAGGCATCTAAACAACTAAAGGTAAGTCTGGCTGTGTATACAGGTAGTTCTCAATTTATGACCACAATTAGGACCAGAACTTCTGTTGCTGAGACAGAGGAGTCACACCCCATTTTATGTCCTTGATTCTATCCCTCTGTTAATGCAGCCTAGGACTGTGTTGGCTTTCTTTGGCAGCTGCAGTAATTCACTTAACAACTCTGGCAAGAAAAATAAAATGGGGCAAAAGTCATTTAGCAGATGTCTCACCTAGGAACAGAAATTTTGGGCTCAATTGTGGTCTTAAGTTGAGCAGTACCTATATACGTGCGCATGCATGCGTGCGCGCGCGCGTGTGCACACACACACATATGTACTTATGTGTGATATATAGCAACCCATCTCACATGAGTGAGTCAGAACAGCTTACAGGATTGAGACACACAAATCCATCAGACATATAAGTCTTAGACTCTTCTTACTTTTTGGCAATGTTGCCTTACTGGTGATGTGTGACTACTGTATTTTCAGAATCAATTCCCACATTGTGCTAAAGCAACAGAACTTTTTCTTTCATTATTTGGGCTGTGTTAACCAAATGCAGCACTGGGTTCATGGCTCAGCACTGGGGTGGCAAATGTTTTGGAAGGGTTTCCATTTCAAATTCAAAATTAAGCTGTTGCAATGTTACAGTCTTATAGGAGATTTAATAATAATAATAATAATAATAATAATAATAATAATAATAGTAATAGGCTCCTTGGGTGCAATCCCAAAACAACTGGAGCACCACTTGAACACCATTGGCATTGACAAATTCGCTATTAGTCAATTGCAAAAGGCGGCCTTATTAGGAACTGCTTCCATCCTGCGACGATACCTGTAATAC